AACTATTATCAGATTTAGGAAACGGTTCAGCAAACTATTATCAGATTTAGGAAACAGTTCTATGGAACCGGTGCGAACCTGCTGAATCCCACCTCTGGTTGGGAACCACTGCTCCAGAGCCTTTCTCTGGAGTCCAAAGAATAAGCAAAATTATTCTCTCTTTGCAGATGACACGATGGGGAAGCAGGTCAAGATAGAGAATCCTCAGTGGGAAAGAAATGAGCCGATAGATTTCCCCAGAAGCGTTGCCCGGGCAAGCGAAGTGAACCTGCTTAAGAGAACTGAGATAGGTGAGGAAGAAAGTGGATTGAAAGTAGATCAGTCAGCAGAGAGAGACAAGGGATCTAATGAGTTCAGGGACCATCTTACAGACACAGTATGCCAGCCTTCCAAAATGTCTACGAGGGAGAAAACACCCACAACCCTCAAGTGTGGCCTTACAGATGCCTTGAGAATCAGAAAAATGTTTTTCGGATAGTCTGTCTTTATCTGAGTATTACAGGATGGTTTTTAGTTAGTTTAGTTAGGCATCCTTCAGTCTCGAAAGACTATGGTAGCATGCTCTGTATGGAGGGCTTGGAACAGCGCCTAGTGTGGCTGAGAAGGCCAATTCGAGAGTGACAGTCCCTTCCACACTGAAGACAAACCCAGTCTGTCCCCTGGACTACAGGATGGTAGTACAGTAGGAATCAGTTCCAAGCCGAAATACTGTATTAAACACTATACATTTCATTGTCTGTCCCTCTCTAGTGGCAAGTTGTGGTAGATACACCCTGGATATGCATAGAAATAGGTATTTGGTTGAGGTGTTTAGGATTGTCGGACAGCAGATAAATTAACCAGTGGATACTGATCCCACGGATAGTAGGGTCCTAATGTATTTTGAATATCCTACAGGTTGAAAGGCCCAGTGGCTGGTCCATCTAGAACTGTGGTTCCCAAACCTGGGTCCCAAAATTATTCTTTCTTTACAGATGACATGATAGGAAGGCAGGTCAAGATGGAGCCGATGGATGTCCCCAGAACTGCTGCCCCGGCACGGCAAGTGAACCAGCTGAAGAGAACTGAGATAGGTGAGGAAGAATGTGGATTGAAAGAGGGTCAGTCAGCAGAGAGAGAAAAGGAACCTAATGAGTCCAGGGACCATTTTACAACTTCAGTATGCCAGCCTTCCAAAATGTCTGTGAGGGAGGAACCACCCACAACCTTCAAGTGCAGCCGAAAGTATCATTGCAAATCAGAACCTGACCGGATCCGTACCAGAAAGAACCACAATGAATGTGACACATCAGAAGAAACATTCCAGGAAAATGTATACTCTGATAAACAACAGAGGGTGATAACTGGAGAAATTAAAACTGAATGTTTGGAAAATGTGGAAGGAGATCATTTGGACACATATCGGTGCGATCGTCCAGAAGAGGACCCTAAGGATTCTGCGAGTGGGGAGAGTCACGTAATTCAAAGTGAGGGAAGGATGTTTGAATGTTCTCAGTGTGGGAAAGGCTTCCCTCAGAGAAGAAATTTGATGATCCACCAGAAATCTCCTACCGGAGAGAAACTGTACAAATGCTCTCAGTGTGGAAACAGCTTCAGTCAGAGAAGAAATTTGAGTACACATCAACGGCTTCATACTGGAGCTAAACCGTACAAATGTTCTCATTGTGGAAAATACTACAGCCTAGGAAAGTATTTGAAAAGACACCAAAGCATCCATACTGGAGCTGAAACAAAAGGGTATAAGTGCTCTCAGTGCGGGAAGTCCTTCAACCAGGAAAAAGGGTTGCTGGTCCATCGGTGGATTCATACCGGAGAGAAACCGTACGAATGCTCTCAGTGTGGGAAATGCTTCAATGATCAACGAAACCTGATGAGGCACCGGAGGATTCATACTGGAGAGAAACGATACACATGCCTGGAGTGTGGGAAAAGCTTCGTGTGGAGCAACCAGTTGAAAATCCACCACATACTGTAACTCATACCGGAGAGGAGCCGTACAAATGCTCTCAGTGTGGAAAGTGCTTCAGTCATCAAGGAAACCTGATGAGCCACTGGAGGATTCACACCAGAGAGCGGCCGTACAAATGTTTTCAGTGTGGAAAAAGCTACAAAGTGGCAAATTACTTGAAGAAACATGAAAGAATTCATAACGAATGAAAGGCCTCCATGCTGGAAATGCTTCAGTTTATGACTTCACCTGAATGATCACCTTCAGCATCAGAAACATGTTTTTCGGATAGTCTCTCTTTATCTAAGTATTATGGGATGGTACTACACTAGGAGTGTGGTATCCAGAGGGGCTCGGTTCCAAGCCAAAATATTAAACACTATACATTTCGTACATCTGGGGACCCAAGTTTGGGAATCATTGACTTAGTGTAAGTCCATTGATTCAGTTGCCCAATGGTGCGTTCAACACTTAAGCAAACTCCATTCATTTCTTGGGTGTTCTAGGGCTGGGACTCCCAGTTATATTTAACTCGAAATTTCAGAGGAAATCCCAATGGATATTTCTTAGGGAACCTCCCAGTGAAAACTGCAGGTCATGGCAGGTAGAAAAATGAATTTGAGAATTTTTTTATAAAAAGGGATAATTGGCTGATTTGAGAATTTCACACACCATTTGACACACTCTCCTTCTCTTCCTCCTTCAAAGCTGAAACTCTGCCCTCCCTCAGGCCATTCATATTGTACTAGCTATAAGCAAGATAGTTATCTGTAACTAAATATTGTTCTGCGTAAGCACAGTATAGAATGTTACCTTTCAAAAGTCTTGTAGAATGGAAGTTGT